AAATTTTCTATCATATTGTTAGACAATTATTCCAGCAGCACTTAGTATCATTTACAGATTGATGCACTGTCATGTGTTACATTCACCTAGCCATCTAGTCCTTTTCTGGACTCTCTTTTGTTCCATTTCTACGCTTGCAAATTCTTATGTCAATAAAACAGGGTTCTAATCAGTACAGCTTATGGGCCAGTATTCACACCTTATTCTTCAAAATGCCTGTGAGTCTCTTAGTTCTAAAATTTAATTTTTTTTTTGGCGGTCCTGGGGCTTGAACCCAGAGCCTCACGCTTGCCAGGTAGGCGCACTACCACTTGAGCCACTCCACCAGCCCTGTGTTTTTTTTTTTTTTTTTTTTTTTTTTGAGATAGGGTCTCTTGAACTGTTTGCCTGGGGCTGGCTTCAAATTGTGATCCTCCTGATCTCTGCCTCCTGAGTAGCTAGGATTATAGGCGTGAGCCACCAGCACTCAGCTAAAATCATCTTTTCTCATTGTCTCTTTCTAATGAAAAGGAATATTTGGATTTTTGTATACTGCTTTTATATTTAGAAGCTTTCTTAGTTGTAACACGGGTGTGTAGCACATTCACAGGCCTGATGTTGATGTCTCCTTGCACTTCAGGGACAGCCTGACCAGACCAAAGTAAATTCAATTGTATAGTAATTTATTTATGACTTTAAATACTTCTTTTGTACAAAAGTGAATGGCTGTGCAGAGTGACTTCACCTGAAAGAGGGATGAAAGTCTCTTTTGACCTTGGAGCCTAGAGCAGCCTTATCAGCCTCTATTGAACTTTCTCTGTGTGTTTTGCTTAATGTGGCTTGTGGGGATTACCACCTGGCTCCCTCACTACCTGTTAGGTTCATTTCAGATTGAGCTCCATTGAGTGCTCAAATCACAGTCAGTCATCCAGGATTTAGTAACTCCAGGGTGCTTATCATAGTGCTTATCAAAGAGCCCCAAGCTTGGATCAAGTACTGGGTACTGACAGATGTCTTGGCTTTGGGGAAGCTAAAATTGAGTTACATACTTAGAGTTGCATATTCCCTTGGCTTTAGCTTTTTTGTTTTTGGTATAGTTGGGGATTGAACTCAGGGCCTTATGCTTGGTAGGCAAGCATTCTACCACATCAGCCAGGCCTCCAGATCAACTTCAACTTGTTTTTAAAAATTATTTTGCTAAGGCAGGCACTGGTGGCTCACACCTATAATTCTAGCTACTCAGGAGGCAGAGATCAAAAGGATCTTGGTTCAGAGCCAGCCCAGGCAAATAGCTGGAGAGACCTTATCTCAAAAAACCCTTCACAGAAAAGGGCTGATGGAGTGGCTCAAGGTGTAGGCCCTGAGTTCAAACCCCAGTACTGAAAAAAAAAATTTTTTTTTCTAGGCCAGGCAACAGTGGCTCACACCTGTAATCCTAGGTACTTGAGAGGCTGAGATCAGGAGGATCATAATTTGAGGCCAGCCCAGGAAAATAGTTCATAAGACCCCATCTCAGTAGGCTCAAGAAGAAGAGCACCTGCTTTGCAAGCACAAAGCCCTGAGTTCAAACCTCAGTCCCACCAAAAAAAATTATTTTTCTCTGTCTATGTACTCTGCTTGTTCCTGCAACCTTTTGTTCATAGCCTTTTATGACTTGCTTTAAAAAATTATTAACTGATATCATAGCATGATAAGGGGTATCATGCTGTTTGGATACAGATATACATTACACAGTGTTTATTTATTTATTTATTTTTTATTTTTTTTCATTTTTCTTTTATTATTCATATGTGCATACAAGGCTTGGTTCATTTCTCCCCCCTGCCCCCACCCCCTCCCTTACCACCAACTCCGCCCCCTCCCTCTCCCCCCCCAATACCCAGCAGAAACTATTTTGCCTTTATTTCTAATTTTGTTGTAGAGAGAGTATAAGCTCCAGAGGCACCTGCACATCCATGTTTATTGCGGCACTATTCACAATAGCCAAGTTATGGAAACAGCCAAGATGCCCCAGCACTGACGAATGGATTAAGAAAATGTGGTATCTATACACAATGGAATTTTATGCAGCCATGAAGAAGAACGAAATGTTATCATTCGCTGGTAAATGGATGGAATTGGAGAACATCATTCTGAGTGAGGTTAGCCTGGCCCAAAAGACCAAAAATCGTATGTTCTCCCTCATATGTGGACATTAGATCAAGGGCAAACATAACAAGGGGATTGGACTATGAGCACATGATAAAAGCGAGAGCACACAAGGAAGGGGTGAGGATAGGTAAGACACCTAAAAAACTAGCTAGCATTTGTTGCCCTTAATGCAGAGAAACTAAAGCAGATACCTTAAAGCAACTGAGGCCAATAGGAAAAGGGGACCAGGAACTAGAGAAAAGGTGAGATCAAAAAGAATTAACCTAGAAGGTAACACCCACGCACAGGAAATCAATGTGAGTCAAGGCCCTGTATAGCTATCCTTATCTCAACCAGCAAAACCCCTTGTTCCTTCCTATTATTGCTTATACTCTCCTACAACAAAATTAGAGATAAGGGCAAAATAGTTTCTGCTGGGTATTGAGGGGAGGGGAGCGGGAGGGGGTGGAGTGGGTGGTAAGGGAGGGGGTGGGGGCAGGGGGGAGAAATGAACCAAGCCTTGTATGCACATATGAATAATAAAAGAAAAAAAAATAAAAACATAAATAAAACATAAAAAAAAAAAAAAGAGAGAGAGAGTATAAGCCATAAAAGGAAGGGACAAGGGTTTTTGCTGGTTGAGATAAGGATAGCTGTACAGGGAGTTGACTCACATTGATTTCCTGTGCGTGGGTGTTACCTTCTAGGTTAATTCTTCTTGATCTAACCTTTTCTCTAGTTCCTGGTCCCCTTTTCCTATTGGCCTCAGTTGCTTTAAGGTATCTGCTTTAGTTTCTCTGCATTAAGGGCAACAAATGCTAGCTAGTTTTTTAGGTTACACAATGTTTAAATTAGGTGAAACATATTTACCTCCTCAAACATTTATCATTTCTTTTCTTTTTTAAGACAGGGGCTTGCTTTGTAGCCCAGCCTGGCCTTGAACTTGGGATACTCCTGCCTCAGCCTCCTGAGTGCTGGAATTACAGGAGTGTGTCAGCGTGTCTGGTCCACATGTATCATTTCTTTATGATGAAAACTTTCAAAAATCCTTTCTTCTAGCTTTCTGATACTTATAATATATTATTGTTATCCATAGCACCCTATTGGGTAGTAGCATCCCAGCACTTCTTTTTTTTTTTGTCAGCACTGGGATTTGAATTCAGGGCCTCAGGCTTGCTAGGCAGGCTCTACCACTTGAATCATTCTACCAGCCTCCATCAGCCCCACTTCTTACTTCTAACTGTAACTTAACACCCATTCATCAACCCTTCCCCATCCTCCAGCCCAGCCTTTTGTTTTTATTACTTTTCTTTGTTTGAGACAGGGTATCCTTATGTAGCTCAGGCAGGCCTTTAACTCAGGATTCTTCTTCAGCCTTCAGGGGCTGAGACTAACAGGCATGAGCCAGCAGGCCTACCAGTATTTTTTTTTTCTTTTAATTATGATGAATTTTACTCCTATAAGCAATTTTATTGCTCGTATGCTTGAGTATAAGCTATGTCAAATCCTTTTGTGGGTAGGTGGAGTATAAATTCCAAATAAAACGAGAAATGTTCAATAAATGTTGACTCTGTGGAGGATCTGAGTACTTTAGTGGTGCAGCGATTTTCCAGAATCACTAGTGTAAAAAAATAACTTAGCTGTCTTAGCATGTATGCGTGTAAGTCAGGCTTTTTATACCCAAAAACACTGTGTAGAAATCTGATTTTTTACTTTCAACTTCTGCTAGTAAATCCAAAAACATTTTTTGCAGTCTTACAAAGTAGCAGGAGTTGGCAAGGGCATGAGTTATGCAAATTATCATTGAGATAGTTTATTAATTACTGGCTTGAGCTGCTCATAAGCAGTGGTGGGGGTTTTTCTTTGGAGCTAGACCTAAACCTGATTTTTTAAAACATCGCTCCTAGAACTCTTGTGTTCTTCGAGTTCCTACATCCTAGTAACCCTCCTTCAAGGGCACCTCCCAGAGGGCCGCTCGGTTCCCTACTTTGGGGCCATACAAAGCGTTTTGTTCCTTTCCCCAGACGCACGCGGTCTCCCAAGGAGACGAGCTGAAAGCCCACTAAGTCATGCTTTTCCATTACTCATTCCGCCTTTTCTCCCAAGGTGGCGTGTGGGAGGTGTTGTGCTCGGGTTCGGTAAGAATAGGCCAGGGATTCTCAAAGGGAAAACACTCATCCCTTTGCGTGGTTCCGTTCCGCCTGCGCGGGGTTTGGTGGGTGCACGGTGTGAGATGTTTTCCAAAGGGACAATGACTCCGCACTCGGCTGCTCTTACTTCGATCCCAGCTCCTCCGCTGGCATCTGGACCGTCGAATCTCGCTCCACTTTACCAACCTTTGTCCCCTTATAAGAAGATCATCCGGTTGCCAAGGCGCGACTGCTGCTCACTAACGCCCTTTGGGGGTCACCCGGGAGGCCAGTCTGGGATCCAGCTTCGCTCACTCCGCATACCCGCACCAGCAGCTGCTCCTGAGCCACCAGGGGGCGCTCGAGTGTCCCGCAGCTACTGACAGTATCCCCACCCCCTCCCTCGTCTCGCCCTGCCATTGGCCGGCCACCTGGAATTCTGCACTCCGGTTGGCCTTCTTCCGCGTCATTTGCGTCCGGTGGGCGGGCCGAAGTGTCGTGAGGCGCTCTGGCTCGGGGCGGTGCCCAGTGTCCACGGCTGCAGGCGGGGTTTTAGGAAGCAGCGACGCCCGGCAGTCAGACGGCAGCAGTCCAGCAAAGCGTCTGTGCGCGTCGAAGCCGCTCCCCATCCGCCGCAGCTGCCACCGTCGGACCGTCGCCGCACCTCGACCTCCCGCGCGCCAGCCCTCCGTCTGCCGTCGCCCTCGATGCGGAGCCGGGCCGCTGCGTGATGGGGCTGCGGAGCGGCGCCCTGCGGCTCGCGGCGGCCGCTGCTCGCGCTGAGGTGCGTCGGTGCCCGGCCCCCCGCACCCCCGCGCGCCGCGGCGCCTGCTGACCCGGCCCTCCCGCCCGCACGTCGGCCCGCAGCGTGGCTGAGGTAAGGTGGCTGGGCTGGGCGGCGGGCGGTTGGCGCCGAGGCCGCGGGGCCGCGGAGGGAGGCTGTGCCGGGATCCGGGCGGGGTCCGAGGGTAAGAAGCGGCGGGGTCGGGAGGACGCCGGTTCACCAGTTGGGGAGCCTCGCCCTCGGGCCCGGGATAGGGGGCCCCGGCCATCAGCGAGCCCCGGGCTTGCGTCCAGCGGCCTGCTGGTCCCCCGCAGTGCCCGCCGCGGCTCTCGGTTGCTCCTGAGCTGCCAGGCCTGGCTCTGCCCAAGGGCAGCGGACCCGCCGCTGTCCGGTCGTGCCCTGGACTCTGCACACATGGCAGCTGTGGGGAGACGGCGCCTCTCCGCTCGAAGCCATCCTTCCTTATTTCCCCTTTGGTCCATTGTGGTTGGCATTGGGGTTCCACTGGAGATGTGGCTCTGCCCTGAGCCGGATGAAGGAAGCAAAGGGCATCGCGTGGCACGGGGGGAACCCAGGGCGCCAGGATTGGAAAAGGGGGCGCGATGGAACGGGAGGGGGCTTGTTGGATGTGGGCCAGCTGCGAGCGAAGGCTAGTGTGGTCGGCGTTGAGCCGATCAGGATTACTCTGGCAGCCATATTGGGAGGATGATCTGACAAATCCTTTAGGAGCCAAGTCCGGTTGCTGGAAGGCACCGAGTGACAGCCCTGGCAGCTTTCAGGGTGACTGGCCGCACCAGAAGCCAAGTTGTGGGGGTTGGGAGGCCGCTGGAGCAAGCTAGGCATTGTTCGTGCAGCGCAAAACATTGCCGGCTGTAAAAATTAGAATTCAGCTTCAAGATTACTTTTTCTCTTTGGCGTAGCTAAATGAGCTTTCCAAGGTAAACTGCCTTCAAGATTCCATTCTTGTTGGGGTGCAATTCTGTTTCTGTGCTCATTGTCTGTGTACAGTGCTGTGGCCATAGAAGGCATGTTGATAGGCAGATGTGGATGGAGATGGCTAAGGCCACTTTACCCCACTTCTGGATAGATTCACAAGGTAGCTCAGCCGGCAGAGGTGAAGTAAACTGAAAGATTCTGATCGTGGGGTAGGCTTGCAACAGTATTTCTGAGGTCACACGTTGTCATCTTTGTGAAATCTCGAGGGAGCTGAAATTAGATTGTCAACAGATCCCTTGTTCAGGCAGCTGTTCTGCCAACACAGAACATGCTGCTTTGTGTCATGATGGGCCTCTCGGAGCCCAGTGAATGTGCAGTGAGTGATTGGGTCTGAATAATTGTTAAGAAGTGATATCATGGTGATGTTTTATTTAAAGGCTGGCATTTTATCTACTTGGCTTAGTCATAATTTTTTTTTTTTCTTTTGGTGGAACTAGGGTTGGAACTCAGGGGATTTGTGCTTGCAAAGCAGGCGCTTTACTGCTTGAGCCACACCTTCAGTCTATTTTGCTCTGGTTGTTTGGAGGTGGGGTCTCATGAACTATTTTCTGGACTGGCCTTAAACTGCCATCCTTCCGATCTCAGCCTCCCAAGTAGCGAGTATTACAGACATCCCAGCCAGTTGTAGCTCATGAGCTTGTCTAAGTGTGGGGGTGTTTTCTAATTTGGTTGGTATTGTTGGATTATGAAGTAAGTGAAGTTAATGTTTCACTCGAGGATGGAATAGAAAAGATTGCTGTATGTTGGCATTATAAAGAGATCTGGAAATAATAATGGGGTTCGGGAGTGAGCCTGGAAGTGTGTTTTTCTACATCCTAGATGTGGACGGGACCTGGGAGGTGACATGCCTGCTGCCTTCTTTGTGTCCATTTAAACTCCATTTCTTTCTTCTCTCATTTTTTGCCCCTGTACTTGAGAGCCAGCCCAGGGCCTCTACATGGTAGCAAGACTCCTCCGTTTTTTAATGCATAAGCTCTTACAGCTTATTAAGGTGAATGACAAATTTTCAGTAGGTTCCCCCCACCACCATGGTACTGGGGTTTGAACTCAGAGTCTTGTGCTTGCTGGTGGGCACTGTGCCACTTCAGCCATGCCCCCAGCCCTCCAATTGACTTTTCGAAGAAGTCTTACATGCTTTATTTTTTTAAATGACTTGGTGCTGGGGATCAAACCTAGGGCCTGTACATGCTAGGCAAGCACTACACCACTTGAGCCACACCTCCATCTTAAAACTTTTTTTTTTTTTTTTTTTTGGCTGTACTGGGGTTTGAACTCAGGGCCTATACCTTGAGCCACTCCACCAGCCCCCCTTTTTTTTTTGTGATAGGGTCTCACAAACTATTTTCCTGGGCTGGCTTTGAACTGCGATCTTCCTGATCGCCGCCTCTTGAGTAGCTAGGATTACAGGCGTGAACCACTGGCGCCCGGTTTAAGATAATTTTTATTGTTAAGCATCCTTTGAAATTAGTTGATTCAGATATGGCTTCAACAGAAACTAGTGTTTTTGCATTATCTTAAAATGAGAGAAATACAGAATGTCTACTTTGTAATTCCATGCCCCAAATAAGAAATATTTTAAAAGTTTTAAAATTTTTAGCATCACTTTATTTGTATAAAGAGCTGAAGAACTGTGGCTAAGTATAATTTCAGCACTGATAAAATAAGACCTGCTCTGAATCTGATCGGAGGTGAGGTTTTACAAGTCTGTGCAGCTCAGCTCACATGAATGCTTGTGCAGAATTTACCCACCTAAGTGCAGCTTCTAAGGTGTAGAGCAGACTCTCTCCTTTTTAACACGAGATAGGAATGTAGCTTTCCTTTTTTTTTTTTCTCTTTCTCACTTTGAATCTGTACCTATATAAAATGCCTGAGAAAAGTATGCCAGTAGAGTTTCCAAGGCCAAAGCTTTTAGCCCATTTTTCTGCTATAGTCTCATCCTGGGTACAAAGAGAAGCACAGTACTGGGCCCTTGCCTTCTAGTTTGTAAGCTCCTTCCCAGGCTGCTAATGGAAGCATATCCCTTTGGTGCTACAAACTGGCATGATATAATTTCACCAGGCTCTGAACTTAAAGGCATATCATGCCTACTTCATGTATTTCTCTTTGAAAGAGGCCTTATTTCAGCAGATATTGGTGAATTTTTGGATTTCATAAACTGTTTCAGTGAATATATGTGTACTTCTAGAACTTCTTTTTTTGTGTGCAGGATAGAAGAGAAATTAAACAGATGCCTGTGATAGGAAAACCCTGCAGAAGGAACCTTGTACCTCTGTGAGTTGAATCACAGCCCAGTGATTCATTTTCGCTCACTATTCTACTGTCATCATTATCAGTTAATTGAGAGTACATAGAGACTTAGTTCTTTACTCTCAAGGAACTTAAGCTTCTCCCTTTTGTGTGGGTATGAAGACAGAAGGTTAGCTCCAACTCCTTTCATTTTATACAGTTTAGTCTACTGCTGTGGTGCGATGGTCCTCTCCATGATTTTCAGTCAGAACCTTTTCCTTCTTGTAATTACAAGCATACACAAGCTTCTCTTTGACAGCTTTGATTCTTGACTTAGTTTTCCCTTCCATCCAAATTTTAATTTTTAAAATTATTTTGGTTCAATTTAAATTGAACCTGGCTCTAGCTCATGCTAGGCAAGCATTCTACCACTGAGCCACAGCCTCAGCCCCCATTTTTGACATTGTCTTGTCATATGTTGATGACTATGTAAATAACACAACAATGATAAAATAGCATACTTAATATTGTGTCAGGCTCTTTTCTAAGCACTTTACATTCGTTAACTAATTTAATCTGTAGACACTGTATAAAATAGATACCATTGTTATTCCCATTTTTCAGATGAAGAAAGAGACAGAAGCTGTGACTTCCCTAAGGTCACGAAAATTAGTGAGTAACCCCTATGCTGAGCTTGCTTAGTAACTATCCTTCTCTTAAAATGTCTTCACATCTGCTCAAGCAAATGTTGGCTTGGTTTTTTCCTAGTCACTCAGTTTTGTGACCACATTTCTTCTAATGTTACCACTTTCAAAACTCAAATTCGTCTTCCATTCTTAAACTCTGACAATTTACAGCTCACTTTCATGGTCTGTCTGTGGCAAAAGTGGCTATTCTAAAATCTTCACCACTTGACTGAAGCCTCCCACTGCCCCATGCTTGGCAGAAAGCCTCATCTACCACCTCATAGGAAAAAAAGTCACGAACACCTTGAGCTGCCCCTTTCTTTGCTTACAAGCTTTTCTGGCCTTTTTCCTCCAGGGAGAGGTTGTTCTCCCTGACTTCAGCTAATTCCTCTGCCTGCGCTCTGTAGTCACTGGCTTCTCATCTTTAAGGGCTTATTGCTTTGGCTACTGCTACTGGATATACCAGGAACAGTTCCACCTTGCTCTAACTCTTTCTTTTGCCTGGAATATGCTTTCCCTGAAATCTGCTTGACTAACTCCTTTACTTCTTTCAAGATTTTGCTTAAATCTCACCACCTTCATTTATGTAACTGCATTGTACCCCTGCCACCATATTCCCCCATCCCCTTAACTTAGCTGTACTCCCCTCATAATGCTTATCTGTGGTTTGTTATTTTTAATGCCCTTCCTCCTAGAATATTAATTCCTCTGTGATAAGATTATTTATCTGCTTTGTTCATTGATTATCCCAGGAACTCCCTATTACATTGTAGGTATGCAATATGTACCTGTTGAATAAAGCATAGAAAAACACAAGTCTTTTCTATGAAAAGACTTCATTCCTGTTCCTCTGTCCTTGGTGAGGTTCTGTCAGTATGACAGACACTTGCATTTTCACCACTGTGCACCCCAGCAAGAGTGGCTTCAGTGTCCCCCACTTCTCTGATACTGTTGATGTTTGGATTTCCAGCCTTTATTGCTGAAACCAGGGATGGAGGAGCCTGGGGGTGTGGAACCACACATTTCATGCCACTGCTGTGAAAGCATTGCTCACTCATTCTGTCCTTGAACTTTTAGCTGTTTGGTCTCCTGTTTTTCTGGAGAAAATAATAGTCACTCACATGGCTATTATTCATTGAACACAATTTTTGTATAACTTTTAAAGGCTTGCTGTTTTGTTTGATTTTGTTTTTAGGAACTAGAACTTGGACTGTATATATAACATGTTCAGTTTTAACGTAAATAGTGAAATAGGCTATTACAGAAAATATTTATAATTTAAATCACTACTTCTGGAAAGAATTTTAGCAACTTAGTATAAATTCCATGTATATACTTAGACTGTTAAAATATAAGAAACCAACAATCTATGAAACGAGGAAAAAAGTAAAAATACAATTTGCCTAGGCTAATGTGGTTGTTGAAATTTAGAAGTCAAAGCAAAAAGGAAAAGATAAATTATATAATTTTATTCTTATGAAAGAAGGCTTAATGGCTTGACAAGAAAAAACTTTTCTGGTGTTAAATTCTAAAGAAGGCCAGGTATGGTGGTGCACACCTCTAATCTTAGCACTCAGGAGGCTGAAGCAGGAGGGTGATGAAGTTCAAGGTTGGCTGGGCTGCCTAGTGAGGCCCTGTCTCAAAATGCAGTGCAGACTGTGGTTGAAGTGGTAGAGCGCCTGACTAGCAAATGAGAGGTCTGAGTTCAAACCTAGCACCACCAAAACAAACAGGCAAAAATTCTAAATACATCCTACGGGAACTGTGGTGTTACAGGCATCCTGATACAAAGTTGTACTTTCAGTGAAAGGGAGAAATATTCTTCAAAGATTGTTTTAAAAGTCATCTACCTGGTTTCTAAACCGAGACTGTAACATATTAAAATGAAACTATTTTCTATGACAATAAAACTGTGATTCAGGTATGTTACTTTTATATGGAGAGTAATCTTGATGTCCCAGCAGAAAACTTCTGATTCAATCCTGAGGAGAGCCTGCAATACTTGTTTTGTCATCTAAAAGAAAACATGACTATTAAACTTTGAATACTGGTTTATCATGTGTAGCCAGATTGACATGTTGTTGACACCTAGAGGAGGCTGACCTGCATTCTAGCCCAGAAGGTGAGCTGCCTCCCAAGCATGTATCTGCAGAAGGTCTGGTGAGGAGCAGATTTCAGAAAGAATTTTGGCTAATACCAAATTTGAATTAGCCTTTGATTGAAATTTACTATTTCTCCACCATAGCTGAGCTGAACTCATTTTATCCTGGACAAATCTAGGAGCAAGTGTTCTCATTTATTTTGACTATAGAATAATGTCAGTGGAATGTTGGGATTTGAGAGGCTTGAATCCCAGTGGATCTGACCACCTGACCTCCTCAAAAAATTTGTAGAAGGTAGCCAGATATTAGAACTAGTAAACTTACTAAATAGAATTTAGTACTTACTGTCCAAACTTTGAATTCAGCCCCACCTAAACAATTTAAAAAGAAAAACAGAACAAGTAACTTCCATTTAGAAGTTTTATTTTAAGCCAGGGGCTGTAGGACCTGTTGTTTTTTGATGTACCTTTTGGTTTATGAGAATAAAATGGAGTCACTAGTGAAAAGGAGCTACTTGATTTCTTAACTGAAATGGTGGGAGGACATATGTCTGATAAATCTAAAAATTATATCAGGCTATTTTAGGTAGTGGCTAAAAGAAAACAGTTGGAGGCCCAATTGAACCTGTTTACCCACATTGGAGATTGGAAGTCCATCTATCACATTATTCCTGTGCAGTCTGATTCTTGGCATTGAGTTAAAATGCAAGAAGAAGCTTTCCTGACATATAACCCATTTTGAACCTTCATAGTATGGCCCATGGCTGATTTTTATCCATAGAATCAAAGATTAAGAATATGCAGGTAATTACACACACACACACACACACACACACACATTCTTACATATTTGGGGGCTGTTTTACAGGTGTAGCTATGGTCAGTGATACAGTGTTGGTCCGCATGGAAAAGTTTTTTTTTTTTTAATGATACTGGTATTTGAACTAAGGGCCTTGTGCTTGCTAGACAGACACTCTATCACTTTAGCCAGTCCCTCTTTAGTTATTGTGCAGGTAGCTTCTCATCCTGAATGGCCTCAGAGCACTATATTCCTACCTACAGTGTCTCATCTCCAGTGTAGCTGGAATCACAGACATGTATCACCATGCTGGGTTTACTGATTGAGATGGGGTCTTGCTAAACTTTTTGCCCCTGCTGACCTTGATCCACAAGCTTCCCAATCTCTGCTTCCTGAGGAGCTGGGGTTACAGGTGTTGAGCCACCGTGTCTAGCTCAGTTTTTAAAATTATAATTCATTTCTTAAAAATGCAATTCTCCCGTGCTGGAGGCTCAGACCTGTAATCCTAGTGACTCAGGAGGATCTCAGTTTGAAACCAGCCCTGGCAAATAGTTCGTGAGACCTTATTTTGACAAAACGTATCACAAAAAAAGGAGGGGAGTGCTGGTAGAGTGGCTCAAAGTGTAGGCCCTGAGTTCAGGCCCCAATACCAAAAAAAAAAAAAAAAAAAAAAAAAAAGCAATTCAGTGGAAAAGAGTATCTTTAAAATATATTCTTTCTGCTGTTTTTATTTATTTATTTTTTTGACAGTACTGGAGTTTGAACTCAGGGCCTCACACTTGCTAGGCAGGCACTCTTACCACTTGAGCCACACTGCCAGCCCTTTTTTGGGATGGATTTTTCTCAATGTAGGTTCTCTCAAACCATTTGCTCTGCCTGGGCTGGCTTTGAACTGTGATCCTCCTGATCTTTGCCTGCTGAGTAGCTAGGATTACATGCATGAGCCACAGATGCTCAGCTTAAATATATTCTTTGTTGATGTCATTTTGTTATTATGTAGCAAATTAGGCTGATAGTGAATTTAAAAGACTATATTTCATGGGTAAAATCTATATTCTAACAAGCATGTACCAAACAAAGTATCTATGAGAACTAGTAAACTGACCACAACATAGGGTAGAATGAAGTAAGTAGAAAAATTAAAAATCAACAGGGCAGTTTTAAGGAAGAAAGAAAAAGGTAGGTATTAAAGAAGTTTGACTTAATGCTTCCTGCTTCGTGGTGACATTTGACCTTGTCTTTGAAAGATAGGAACTGTTGTAATAGGTTGAGAAGGGAGGCTGGATCTCCAGGAATCCTCATGTAGAATGTAGTCAGAATGGCTGGTGGAGACAGGTAGCTTAGAGGTGGGCAGTGGAAGTGGAGGCCAATGAGGAAGGTCAGATTGTGGAGGCCCTGTGAACTTTCAGCTTATTCTCAGGCCATGCAAACCTGCTGAAAAATTTTAAGGTGAGGGAATGAGGTGAACTAATCTCTGTTTTAGGGACGCAATACTGGCTGTTTTCTATAAGAAAAAGAATATTATTCAAAGCAACCAACCAACCAAAAAACTGGTATTTCATTCTTGCTGAAAGATCAGTTTAGTTTCTCCTTAGACTCCCAATAATTCACGGCACCTCTGAGAGTAAGTGAGAACTCCATAAGGTCAAAGTTAAACAACTAGGCAAAAATTAGTTGAGAAATATTCCACTGAAGTAAGCCTAAATGTTTTATTGTCCCTTTAATATTAGTGAATGCTTCTGGAATTTTCGCTCCATTCTACTTTCCTAATGCTTCTAATTGTATGTCATAAGGAAGGAAAACTAGTCAGAGGAACAGTCTAGAGCTGAGGCTGTGTGAGTGATTTGGAGGACTTATGGTTACCTTTCCTACCTGCCTTTCTTTCCTAGCTGTTCAAAACTTGAAAAATGTGTTTTTATGTTAAAATTATCAAGAAGAATTGTTTTCCTGTAACGTCTTAAAATATTCTTTAATGTTATTATTGTTATTATTGTTTCTCACTGGATTTCAACTTGATTTCAGTCTTACATAATAAGTGATTTTTCTAAAGGAGCAAGGAGTTTTGAGACTATAATTCTTGGTTGGA